ACCATGTTTCGATTTAAAAAAAAAAAAAGTAGACGTGGCGCCACTGTGGTGCCACGTACATTGGACGTCTCTTCAAGAGACAACCAAGACTCATTTCGATTTCCAGAGCATTATTTCTAGAATAAGTTTGTAAATATACATTTTTTTCCATTTTTTCAATTAAAACAACATTATTTTAAAAATAAGTTTATTTTAAAATATTATTAAAAAAATCCTATGTGTATATGTATCAATATTTCATATCTTAACTAAGATTAGATTTGGTTATAAATTATTAATAAAACATAAAATTAAATAACGTTGAACTTCAATTTATTAATTCAAATTATTTTCATCAATCTTTGTTATCTTGTTCCGACATTTCTATCAACATCTACATTTTCATAAGTAAGTTACTCATATTTTTACATTTGATAGATAAAAAGTGATCAATTATAACTTAATTAAGCTATAATTAAAGTTTTATTTACTAATTAAAATAATTTTTATTAATTTTCATAATTTCTGTAATTTTTCCCCAAATATCCATCGACATTGACATGTCCGTAAAATCAGGACCTCGACATTTCGAACCTTGTGTGTACATGATTTTGTTCCAACGTTTTCATCGCAACGACATTTTCATAAGTAATATTACTTATATATTTAGATATGATGGTTAAAAGTGAGACAAATTAAGCTACAAGTTTATTTTACTCGTGCAAATAATTTCCATCCATCTTCATTAAAAAAATAAAAATAAAAATCTTGTGTGGACATTTCCATCAATGTCGATATTTTCATAACTAAGATGGTCATAAAGGTGATCAATTATATGCTAATTAAGCAACAATTCAAGTTTTATTTACTACTTCAAAAAAATTTCATCAATTTCCACTATTTCCATTATTTTTTCCCAAAATATCTATCAACATCGACATGTCTTTAAAATCAGAACCTCGACATTTCCATCGACATCGACATTTCAAACCTTGCTTTTAAAACGAAAATATTATTAAAAAGAAAATTACATTGGATAAATAAAGAGATGAGGTACTTGAAAGAAAAAAAGCAATGCATCTTGCTCAGCAGGCGTAGCTTGGCGGACTGTTAGCTAGTACGTATAATCTTACCAGAATCGTCGACTTTCGTCCCTGCTCAACGAGTGGGTCTTTGAAAGCACTTTTCAATTTTGAAAAAATAGCAAACTCTGGAGGTTGAACCTATGCAGAAGAGAGTAAAAGTATAATATACCATAATGTTTGATTAATGTAAACCAAACTATGATACTTGATTTGATATATCATTGATATACTTGATTATGAGTGTTGATATACCAACAATATTGTTTGGGGATAAAATATCCAATTGCCACGTGAAGGACAGAGATAGGTTGAAGACATAAGAAGTTGTTAAAAGACCTGTCTTGAAAGATCCCTCATCGGAATGTTCCGAGGAAAGAAATTCAGCACTCCCGATTGTGTTACAACTCCTAAAATATCCGAGCACGACCTACTAAAACCCGACATTTCCGACCTCAAAACTGACCAGGATAACTGCCTGTCGCGACCCCTGTCGGGACCTAAACTTATAAATAGAGGTCCCATTTCACCATCAGGTAAGGAATTTTCTCCTCGAACTTAATATTGAGTCCGAGCTACATACTGACTTGAGCGTCGGAGATTTTGCCCTTTGGAGCAGGTCTTACACATCTCTCAGGTCGGAGCTAGGAACAGGTTCGAGCTAGGTAACCGTTGTGCGAATTGTTGCATAAACAAATGTATCTAATATGAATGCTAATATACTAATGATATACTTGATATTATTTTCAAAAAA